AGCCTCCAGCATCGAGAGGCTCGAGCCCAGCGGGTCGGTGTGGTGGCTCGATAGGGCAACAAAGAGATCCAAAGAACTGAGCAACAGCAGCCCTGTCCTACGTGCTTAGAGCTTTGATTTCTCATCCATTACTAACACAAATTCCTCGGGTTGATCAATATTAAAACGGCTCACTTAAAGGCACGTTTCCTTTTGCGACTCACCTCTATTTTCGTGATGTTCTCATGATAAAGGAATGCTCTGTAGCATCAAGTTATCACTGCTTGAGAGCGGAGGCAGCTCTCATAAAAAAAAGGCATTGGTCTGACACGTGTTGTCCAACACTTTGCATTCTGGGCTCAACCAAGGCTGGACTTCCTACCTTCGTGTTGGAGCTGCTGACATACACTTTCCTTCTCAGCTTTGTCCCCCATAAAATGTCACAGCCCTCTGGTTCCTCTTGTTGCCACATGGGTTCTTGTTTCCCAAGATGACAGCCATCAAAGGATGGCTGGGCAGCTGCTCAGATCTCCCAGCCATTGGGAGCTGGAGCCTTGTGTGCATTAAAGCTTTCCTGCTCCTTGGTAGTTCAGATGGCTTTGTGTCTGTCAGAGCAGGTAAAAATTTCTCAGGTTCTCCATCTTCTAAACCTTTATTTTTTATTTTTAAAAAGCTACTTCAGTTGGATTTGACAACCCAAAGCCCACAGAATGCTGGTTTGTAGGATTTCAGCCCCCCACGCTTAACCTGACCATCACAGCCCCCTCACAAACCTTAAGTAACAGCAATTTTAAAGCCCTTTGCAGCATTGATTTATACGTTTTTCTGCAGTATCAGCATTGCTTTAAAGGACAAAGGTTTTTATAATACAGTTGTAAATTATTTTTCTTAGTGTCTTAAGTGCCTCCTGGGAACGCCTGATCACTTGAGATGCTTCATAATTTATTTCTTCTCATGTTTTTCAGCAAGTGCAATAAAACACTTGTAAATACCCCAGAATGAGGATCGTTACAGATGGCACTGACAAGCACCAGGTTCACGTGGAAGTCCTTGTATCACTGCATGAAGGAAAAAGAAGATAGGAATGATAAGCCTGAAGTTTTCCTGAGCTGTGTGACAGGTGTGAGCAGATGAAGTTTCTAAGAAGTTTATAAGCATGGTAATTTTGCTTTCTGAATCATCTTCTTGGGGTCCCCACTGGCATCTTTCTTTGCTGCATTTGGGCTCTGGAGGCCAGCTGCTCATGTGAATTGGTTAAAAAAAACAGCAACAACAACAAAAAAAACAAACCCACAATAACAAAACACCACAGCCTAACCTGTGAAGAGCAATCAGCATCAGTGCTTACATACCCTAATATGTGCCCAGGTGAAAGGTGTTATCGCCCCATTGCTACTCTGAGAAGCAGAAGGATGTTGGGAGTGGGATGGTCCCTACTGGTGGGACTCTCAGCTACAAAAGCAAGTTTTTACTGTGTGAGGTTTGAGTGAGCCATCTGTTTTCTCAAACAGTGTAATTCTTGGCACACACAGTTTTATTTCAGAACTGTACAGTTGGCAGTAAGTGCTTTTGTCCAGATCTGAGCCTGGATGGCTGGGGCGTGCATCACTTGTCTTCTTGTGAGCCAAGCCTTGTTTTGGCTTTCGGTAGTGCTGTTTTACCCTCCTGATGAGTGCCCCATGGGCTGTTTCATGTTGAACTGGTAAATCAGGTCTGAAAGGACATAGAAAGTCTAACTCTGAAGCTTCAGGTGTCACTCAAAAAGCTCAATAAATGTATGAAAGAGACGAAAAGCCTCACTTTTCTTGGGTGCTTCTTGCTGCTGAGGAAGGCTTATGCTATTTCCAGCCATCTCAAACCAAACGTGAATAAATTACATTGTTTTCCATCACTTGAGACAGTTCTTCTCTCCCCAGCATTGACTTTGCTTAGAGCATTCTCAGCTGATTACTGAGAAGTATTTAAAGGGAGTTTACTGTGCAAGAGCCTCCAAGCTCAGCAACTATGTGTAGCAGCTCTCTGAGCTACTGACCACCCGATGCTCTGAATGACAGCATCAGATGTGTATTTTCTCTAAGAGGCCTTTTTGCTTTCCCAGTGCTCTATATCTCTTTCATGTAGTTTTTACCCGTAATGGCCTCAAACACTTGTAGCCACTCAATCTGGCTGTATTCCCCAGTCAAAGTGCTGTGCTAATCTGTGTGATTTGTTACAGGGATGTAAATGCTGGTTGAAATACTACGAGTGCGCGTTTTCCTTTGGTGAGAAGGCCAAGAAGATTGCTGATCAGTAAGTAAACATAGAGGAATGGCCTTTATTTCTTGCTTGATGCTGGGGTTTCTGGCTAGCTGCACCTCCAGGCACGCTTACAGCATGCCAACAGCCTCTTGTGGTAAGGCAGGGCGTGCTGGTCCTTTGACAAAACAGATCCAGAGGGCTTGAGATATCATCAGCACACCCCGTCTGCTCCTGTTAGCTCATGCAGAACCAGCAGTGGTTGTATTGCTCACGGCATGAAGTGTAAATAGCAGTTGCTGAAGAGTATTGATCTTTGTAGCAGAGGAATTGATCGTGGCATATTGACCTGCCCTGAGCTCCTGGTAAATCACAAAGCGTCACTGATCAGTGCAGTACAGATGTAATAAGTGTGTTTTGCTCTGTGTAAACATACAGGGCCTGCTTGTGAGATCAGTTATGAGCCCCGTCCCAGTGACTGCCTTAAACTCATTCTCCTTTTGCTCATGACCTTCCCTGTGTTCTTCATTCAAGAACAATTCTGCAGCAGCTGGTCTTTGGTCCAGATGTTTGCCTGACTGTGGATGCCTGCCCATGCGAATGCATACCTTGTGCCTGAATCCTGAGGGATGGAAATGCCTGCCTAGGAAGCCAGGACAGCCCCTGAAGTGTGCCTTATGTCAGCTTCGTAGACCAATCTTGATGTGTGGGCCTCTTTCCTGAGCAATTAACTGCTTGGTGAGGATCTCACAGGCTTGTTGGAAGTGCCTTTTGACCTTGCTTTCATTCATCTGGCCACTAATAGCTTGTTCAGGGATCCAGAGGGTTTAACCCAACCAGCAGACATCGCAGCTGGCCCGGTTGTGTCCTGTTGCTCACAGCTCAGATTCCTGGCTTCGTGCAGTAATTCATAAATAAATCTCCCTTCTTCCCAATGCTACTGGAGCCAGCTCTGGGTGTGTGCTGATTATGCCGTGGTGGTTGACATCAGTATCTTAACTCTCTTCATTGCAGCCCCATCAAAAAAGCAAATGTGTCTTTTCTTTGTTGTGTCAATAACGAGGTTAACTCTTGTTGCTGTGCGAGAAACATGACAGGCCCCTGCAAGAAAAAGCAATCAGCTTGGAGCAGCTGCCTTGTTTTCTTTCTTGCTGGGCTGTGTTTCTCAAGATACAACAGCAGTGCCAATGATGCAACGTCTCCCTTGGGAGAGGGTTGGATGAAGCGTGCTGGTGGAGCTCCAGCAGAAAGCTTCACCCACAGAGGGTGGGGAGCAGCAGCTGATTTAGACCGAACGATGACTTAACCTTGCCTTAAAATGAAGCAGCTTTTCCTTTCTTTTTTTTTTTCCTGTTGGAAAATTGATTTTTTTATTCTGCGAAACCCAACTTTTTCTTCCTGCAGTGCTTTTCTCTACCCAAAGGTTGCCTGTTGGAAGGCTCTCCAGCAGCTCTATTGGTGGGCCAGGGAATTTTCCAGGGCTAGCTTGACGTTTCCATTAGGCGATGTGAGGCAATTTTCTTTCTGCTTTCTTTTAGCCTATTTTTAAAGACAGCCAAGCAAAACAATTGCTGGTGAGAACTTCAGTACCTGATTTGTCTCTATAAAACTTGCTACTATGTGAGAGGGCTTTTCCAGAGCTATCTGCAACTTACTTTTGAAAGTGCCTTTTCTCTAATGCTGCAAGCAGGAGTTAATAAAATGGCTCAGGAGTCTGGTTCATTTTGGATGCCTAATTGGGTTTTGATTTATTTCAGCTGAGACTTGTTAAATTTATCCCATGACCCTGTAAATATAATCTGCCTTTTCATCCCTTAAATAGTCGCCATCTCCTTTCAAATGTTATTTTGTGTTTGCCTTTCTGGCTTTCCAGCTTTAAGTACTATAAACTCTGAGGAGCTTGGTTCTCTGCTTTCCGCTCTCCTGTCTGAGCTGAGGGCTGCAAGGACTTCACTTATCTGCACCGGTAGACTTGAAATCAGCTCCAAATTTATTTCTTGCTTTTCACTTGAAAGCTGTTCAGGTGATGAGCAACTTTTGGCTATTGAAAGAATGGAAAGAGGTCTTGAGGAATCTGCTTTTTCTCTCTGACAAATGCCAGTGGTATTACGATGGTTGCTTTTATGTTTCTTTCCTGCCTTGTGGAATTCAGTGCCACAGGAAGGTGCTGGTGTGGACCTTCAAAAGCAGAGGTCCTCCAGGAGGAAAGGATGGGGCCATCCTGCCTGGAAAAAAGGCAAAGGTGGAGCAGGTTCTGCGTTAAATCCTGTGCCTTCCTCTCCCATAGCATGACACCCATCCGCCTCTGCCCTCAGCACACGCTGTGTGCATGACTTCATACTGGCGTGGGGATGAAACACCACCAAGAGATATTTTACTTGTGTTTTTAAAGCTCTAGGCTTCAGTATGAATCCATCCGGTAGCACAGGGAAGCTTATAACAGAGCTCATTGCTTTTTCCTTTGACGTTTGCTTGGCTTTCACCGCTCTGCAGGCGTTTCTTATGTGCTTTGGAATGTGATTATTTGTGAAATAGTGTCGTGGGTTGCTTTTTGTGGGTTTTCCTAGTCTTTAGTGACTACCCCTCCTTGCATTTTGTCTGAAGCGGAGGAATGACTGACTTAACCTGGTGAGGAGAGATGGAATTAACATGGCTGCAGCTTTACTCTGCAAACTGGTGCACTCAATCAAGAGCTGAACTTCTTCCGCATCAAATTCATAATCAGTAATTCTGCCTTTCTTCCTGTTACTTTTGTAGGTGCTGTCTGTCAAGCCATACCAGAAGGGCTCAGAGTGCTTCACGTTGCACTTGATACCTGAGCAAAGAAGGGGCAGGTAGAAGCTATAAGGGTGCAGGTCCCCTAGGCACCCACCTGTAAAGACACTCCAGGCAGACCAATCCATGCCTTTCTTCTCTCATTCCTGCTCTGGAGGACAGGTCTTTACCAGGAGCCTACTGTCAAACAGCTTGGATGGCTGAATATTCATGTGCAGCCTGTTTTTGGAGCCAGCGTGAGGGGAGCTGTCGAACTGCTGCTAATGGCAGTTGAAAGTGTTAATTTTCACACTGAGGTAAAACATCCCAAATTTTGGAGATTTCGCTGGAGTCAGGGCCGAAGTTCCCAACAGCTTTAAAGTGTGCAGATGTGAAATGCTGAGTTTGAACATTAAGTCCCTCTTAAAATGCTTTATTTCATCTGAAAAGGTCTCAGACTTGGTGTTGCTTTCTCAAACTCAACTTTTTTTCCCCTCTTAGAGAGCTTGACTTCCTATTGCAGCTTTGTTTAGTTGAGTTTATGCATTCTTAGGTCTAACATTATACAGTCCGACTGGGAATCGTGCAGTCACAGTGGGAGATGGGAAGGAGCAGAGTAATTTATTCTTTAAACAATGGGATCATCTGCATTTGAGTGCAAGTTAGTTAATAAAAGGGGTTTTAGTGAAATAATAATAATAAGAGGAATTTTGCCTGGGTTTTGCTTAGAAATAGTTGCACTCAGATGGGGAATGTGGCCCTCAAGTTGTGCCACAGAGAGTAGCTTCATCTGTAAGCAGCTACCCTGGTCACTCTTGCATCCTTGATGGATGCATCCTTAGGGAACTGGTGTCACGTCCTCTGTGCTGTGATGAACTGGGCTGCTCTGCTTCTTCCCTGGCAAAGCAAAGGGAAGGGTCTGTCTCTGCGTGCTTGGGAGAAGAGTGGAGTAGGAACAGACTGGGAAGGCTGGAGGGCTTTGACCAGATCCTAGAGCAAAACAGAGTGGATAATTACTGCTGGCAAAAAGATATCATGATACGCATGATACTATTTAACCTGAGATGAGCCCATGCTAGGATAAGCAGCAATTCCAGCCGTGTTTAGAAGCCAAATTAGGTATTGAGTGGTGCCTGGTAGAGAAATGCTAGGTGCAGGGAAATTAGTGGTCTGACTCCCCATAGCATGAGCTGGGGCAGGACTTGACCTTGGACCTGCAGCGAGTACTGTGAGAGTTTCTCCTGGCCTGTAAACCAAGTAACTGAGCGTTATTACGTACACGTGCACACAATAGTGCTTGGAGCCTTTCTGCTGAGGTCTTTCCTTGGGGATCCATATAAAATACTTCTCACAAAAGCTGCCCTGTGCGCAAACAGAGGAAACTCCATCTAGTGACGTAAAAAGAAAAGCCAACAAAACCTTTTCACACGTGTATGTGTATTACCTCTTATCTTACTGCCAGTCTGTTGAAGATATCAGTCCAGCTACGCAGCGCTCACCATATGTGAGAATTAAAGTGCTGCCTGGGAAGCACTTCCAGGCCCTGTTCTGTATTCTGCCAGTGCAAGCAAAAATGTCCCCTTTGTCGTGTCAGTGAATGAATATTCTTGTTCCCCTTTCTCCTTGGATTTATGTCAACCCTGAGTTTCAACCGAGTTTGATCTCCTTGCTTTATTGTATTGCAAACAGTAGTCAATAGCTCTTCGGCTTGAGATTGCCTGGATTTATTTTCAGGTCAAGTCAACTCTCCTTGACCCACATCTGAACCAAAATACATTCCCAGAAGATTCCCCCACAGGATATCAGTTCCAAAGACAGAGTGACATTGTAATGAGTTCAAGGTTCAGTACAACAGAGTCCCTGTTGGTGTGGGGAAGGCAAGCAAGCCATCCTTCTTGTCTCAGAGCTGGGACCTCTCCCGGGGCTTTTCAGAGCAGATTTTGTCATCCACTGGTTGCTGCTCTTCATAGGACAATGCCATTGATTGCATCCCTAGTATTTGCAGTCTCCTGACTGGTCCCAGTTCTGTGCATGTGTGTATTCATGGCTATAATGTGTGTGTGTGGGGAATTTGGTGTGCAGGCTTTAAACAACTGATGGGTTGCTCTGCATTCATGATTTTTTTTTTTTTAATTCATTTTTCTTAAAGAGAACAAAAAATGGCATCTCCTTTGGGGAACTGTCTGGCACACAGGCAAAACCAAATGATATTGCATCATAAAGTAAAAACACTGCTTTGAAGAGCTGGGACAAAAATGGAATGAACTCATGAATTTATCCTGGATGATAAATCTTCCTTCAAAAGAAAGCAGCCTTATGTTTAGTACAAAAGACTGTTTATTTCTTCTATGGAAAAAAAAGAAGTGGTGTAATCGGATAGGATTAACTTTCCAAGGGGCCCTGGACAGAAGCTGAAGTATGGGCTGCCTTCTTGTGCTCACATTGGATAATTTGAGCTCTGGAGTAGTCTAAGACCCCTCTGGCTTCCTACAGCATTTGGCTGTGACCAGCTGCCAGCATGACTTGCACCTATAGCCAACATTAAGAACCCCAGCAACAAGAGTTTCTAGAGGCAAAAGAAATCCAAATGCTTGGCTGGTATAAGCAGCTTGTCTCAGCTGGGAACCTGGCCCAGGTGTGGGTAGAAATACAGCCTTATTGGTGTTCTTCATCTCAAGCAGCAGTTAAATACGTTTTTAGCAAATACCAATAGTGTACGGCAGACTTAATGTTGCATTAAGAATCTTTGTGGGCTGTGTGTTCTGACTTTGTTGTTTTGACCATTGGTGGTTGATGTTGCATTCGCCCTTTTAATTTCATCTACTCAATTACCTAGGAACAGTCTTGTGCGTGCTTTTGTCAGCGGGAGCAATGATGCTTCCAATTTCACACCTCAGTGGAATGGATGGGAAAGTTTTGACTGAGATAGCTGTGTAAGCAAAGAGGCAAAAGCAAAGAGGAAAGTGAGAGCCCAGTTTGCATGTGTGTGCGCTTTTATTTTTGCTAGAAGTCCCAGGCAATCCGAGTGATAAGCAAGCCCCTTCATTAAACCTTTCTGATGGACCAAGTTGAGTTCCCTGTGCTTGAGCTGGGTAAGGTTCTGACTTGCCTGTGTTGAATTATTGTGTGAGAGCTGTTCAACGGTCATTGCTACTTTGTGTTGGTAAGTTTGGCTGTTTTACCCTTGTTCCTCCAGGTAGAATAATTTTGATAGAATTTGCTTTGATAGAATAATTTGCACGACAATTTTTTGCAGGTAAAGGTCGTGGTCATGAACAGTTACTGTATGTTAACTTGTATGCACCTTGAAGACCTTCCCAGAGCTATTATGAGAGCAGCTGTACAGCAGAACAACACTGAACCCATTTGGGATGATTGGACTTGTGCTTACGGAGCTGTGTGAAGTTGATCTGAGCCAGTCTTGAAAATAGAGGCATGTGAATTGGAGATATCTGGGAGAACAGCTTTGCTTCTTGGCTAATGCAGGCAATTACATTTAGGTGCCCGGGGGTGAAAGGAACATCCCTTCCCAGGTATGAGGATCCTATGGTTCCCCAAGGGAGGTCCTCTAGGTTACAAGAAATTGGTTACAACCAGCACGGAAAAATTTACCACTGCTGAAAAAGTTTACAGCTTTACTGATAATTTTCCACTAGGTTTTTGATTCACTGGAGTGCCTGGCACCATCTTGTTTCAGTCTTGTGCATCTGATGCAATAGAAAATGAAGATACTTGTAGGATTCTGAGAGGGAGCTGTCATCTGGAGAGGAAATGCGCACAGCAGTGGATTCCAGCGTTCTCCATGCTTCAAGCCAACCTGGGGGAAATTGGAACCTGCATCTCCTATGCAGCTGCCCTAAAGGTAGGGAGAAAGGGAAGATTAGGTCCCATTTGAAAGGAGTGGAAGACCTGTGCAGCTGAAGCAGGGCTATAGTGAGCCCTTATTTTGCAGCTGGCCTTCCAGTTCTACCCAAACCCTGAGAGCCTGGCAATTTCTAGTGCTGAGCCCGGCAGCAGTCAGAGTTCCAAAGGAGCGTGCCAGATAATTCCCACCCAACAAACATCAAACCTGTGGAGAACTTAGTTGTAATGCATTCGTTGTCTCACCTGCTGTCAGCATTTGCTAGCAGGCTAGACAGCATTCATAATGGGCCCAGTAAAAAATTACCCTTGGTGTTCATGTAATATTTCAAGGAACTATGGCTCAATTGGGGTGACCTTCATTCTTAGCTCCCATGCGTGGGCTTAGCTCCAGTAACTCTGGTCAGGCTATGCTGACTTTCGGCAGCTGGGACTTGGGCCTTGCTTTTTATGTCCCTTATTCTACGCTCATGTAGTCAGTTTCCCTTGCCAAGATTATATTTGCTTTCCTTCCTAAAGGACTGCTCTAAATATCGTGCTTTAAAACAATGTGTCTTTTCTCCCCACAGAGAACAATATGATATGCCACTGTTGAATTAATATGTCTATGAAAAGTGAATATAATCTCCCCAGTAGATCCCCTTTCCAAAAGATTTATGATTTAATGAATTTTTTATTTCTTACCGGTGTGTAGCATTCAGTCATTTTACACCTAGCAGGAATTTTTCCCAAGGAAGCAAGGCAAGGTGGAGAGGGGGGTTCCACCATCCTGATTCAAATCCTTTTTTTCCCCTCTCTGCTCTGCTGTGCCACTTGTAACACTCATTGCTGCTGCAGATTCTGTCAGAATCTACCCTTAAAATGTGCAGGTTGTGATGCTGGGCTGAGACAGTGCAATATGGAGAGAAGTTTGGAGCAGTGCTTATATAAAAATCAATGCCTCTGAAGTCTTCGTTGCTCTCTGCTCGACTGCTCTAGGCAGGATTTCTTGCTCATAGTCCTACTCTATCTTCCTTGTGGTCGTGGTCCAGTGCGTTTTCAAATAAATTGCTATAATGCCTCTGACAGTAGATTATGAAGCCACAAATAACATCTGCAGGTAACACCTTTATTTAGTGGAAGAGGAGTTAAAGCAGAAGCGAGCTGTGAAGAAGAGAGCTGTTATAGATAATTATTAGCTATGTGGGTAATATTCCTAATTGAGCCACCAATTGATTTCTCTCTCTTAGCCTTGAAAATGGGAATTGATTGCTCTGCTGGCCCTTCCCTTGGCTGCTAGGATGCGTGCCGTACCTATGCTTGGCTTTTGGGAAACTTGCTGGGATCAGCGGCTGCAGATCCTGCTGGGATGGACAGAAAGTGCTGGCAGGGTGACTGGGCAAGGGGCACTGGCATTAACCTCTCTTATGCTGTGTCTTCAGAGGAGAAAGACAAAGAGCAGCTACAATCCTGGGTGGCCCCATTGATTGAGACGCATGTGAAGCAGTGCGTGCTTTATATTGTCTCCCTGAATCAGCACTGTTCATCATCACTTGTCAAGAGGTAAATGCTACAGGCAGTATCCTCTCTGCCTGGAAAACACCAGTCTCCAGCTGCAGGTTCTCACAGGCCTATTGGCATATGATACCTCAGATGCTGAAGCCCTGTGACATCCCAAGAAGCTCAGTGTGAGCACAACATCCCAGCCTGTCCCACCTAGCACCACCAGCCCGTGTCTGGGTGGGCATTAAATGACTTAATTGTTTTCTGTTGAAGGGGAAGTGAAACTGGACTGTGCCACAGTCACGGCCTGCTGGACATTCCTTGTTTCCTGCCATTTCTCAGAGGTGTCTCCAGATGTCTTACAGAGCGAGGAACGTGACTGGCAGAGGACAGAGAACCTTCATGAAGGAGAGAGGAAGTGAGTGCTGCGTTTCCATCTAGCGGCCCGCTGGCACTGACTCCCAGGACTGCAGGAAGCTTTTTACCTTTGTGCACTTCATGTATCACAGCCTGATTTCCTGCAGGCGCCTGTCTGTTCAGCTATCCCTGGCTTTGTCATCTCAACGTGGGTGTTTGCACTCCTGGCCAGCACATTGTTCTCTGCCTGTGCATCATGCTGCTGCCTTCAGACACGCTCGGTGATGCTGCTTCCGTCTTCTGCTGCTGCATGCATATCCTCTCTTATGCAATGGAGAAATGTTTCCCTTTGTCCCCTTTTGATAGGTGACATGCAGTTCTAATGCCCCCTCTCCCAACGCACACACATGTAATTTGCCATA